ATATATATATATATCCCCAAGACCCCTGCCTTCTTGGACAATCTAACTTCTGCTTGTTCTCCAGATTCAGCTGCAAGGCTCTCTTCCTTCAGGGCATTTTTGTGACCAAAGAAGGCCTGGAGTATTTGCCCGAGATTTTGCTGTAAATAGAAGTAAGATTCACACATGGAACACTTGGGAGGCTGAGGATGGAGGATTGGTGTGAGTTAAAGGCCAGCATGGACCGCACATGAATGTAAGAGCAGCCTGAGGGTCAGGATTTAACATAGTGGCACTGTGCCTGCCTCACAAGCACAAGGTCCTGAGGAGTTCGATCCTTAGTACAAAAAAACAAAAACAAAAACAAAAACAAAAAAAAACACAGCAAGACCCTATCTCAAAAAAAATCAAGCCAAAAGTAAATAAATAAATAAAATTGATCATTTAGGAGAAAAAGAAGATTTGTAAATAGTCCAGAGACTAGATAAAGGTCTATTTAGCCCCTTTAAAAGGTTTCTTCAACTCTGTTAGTTACCTTAGAATCTTTATAATAAGTCATCTTTTATTGCTTAAGCTAGGTTAAGATAATTTCCTGTTACTTGGAAATAAGATTCTTACTTCAGGTTCAGTATCCCTTATCTGAAATGCTTGGGACCAAACATTTTGGATTTCAGATTTGTTTTGGATTTTAGAATAAATGTATATACACAGTAAGTTAGTTATCTTGGGGATGAGGTCCAAGTCTAAACACAAAATTCATTCATGTTTCACATAAACTTTACACATATAGCCAGAAAGTAATTCTGCCCAACATTTTAAATAATTCTGTGCATAAAGCAAAGTTTCATAGTGTGGAAATTTTCCAATTATGACACCATGTTGGCGCTCAAACAGTTTCAGATTTTGGAGTATAATTAGGGATGTGCAACTTATAACACAACTTTAAATTATACATAAAAGATAAATGAAACCTAGGGAAGTTCCTTGCCCTGTCTCATAGGGAGGCAGCAGTGGCAGATCTAGAAAAAAAACACAGGTTTTCTGACTCTCAATGCCAAGTTATATCATAGGTCAAAGCAAGAAGAAGCGTTAGAGGAAGGAATCAACATACAGCACCTCATGGACTATGGGGCCCAGCAGGAAGTCCAGGTGCTGGCACAGCTCTCCTAGGTTGGCTAAGCTGCTGGCCCTGTGGGCACCATCTGGATCTCTCACGCCCCTCAGGAAGGTGTGGATCAAAGGGTCTCGATACTTTGAGACCATGTTCCCTACAGAGAAAGGAAGAAATTAAAATCTTTTAAAACAGAATAGCACTTTAAAGAAGGAATAATGATATCACCATGGTACATTGTATGATGTCTTATTCTGTTCAAAGGACTGTATGACCATTAAAATTCATGTTCTGGAAGAATATTTCATATCAAGGAAAATATTCATGATGTATGATTTCTAAAACAGCAAGTAGAATCCTAGTTTTACTCTAAAAATATATACATTGAGATAAAAGATGTGAAGATATTCCCACAATATTAGTAACAGTTTATAGGGAACTTTTTTTTTTTTGGTATCAAGGATTGAATTCAGGACCTTGCACTTGCAAAGCAGGTGGCAGAACCACTGAGCTAAATCCCCGGTCCAAGTTTACAGGGAACTTTTAAAAATTACATATAAAAATATATATGCACACACATTTATAAATGAAAATGTATATATCATAAATACATAGTGTAATAAATGTTCAGAAATCTGATATAACTGTCATTAATTAGCCCATGATCACATAAATGAAAATATGGCCCCCAGGCTAGACCCCAATCACAGCCCAGTACTTTTTCTATTATCATCACTGATCAGATAAGCAAATTGAGTGAAAAACAATAAAAAAATGAGACTTCTGGGAAGATTGTGGTAAATAGCAGCTAATCAGCCTCTCTGAGATGTGGAATCCGGACATTGGAATATAACAACTTGGGGAAAAAAAGGAGGAGGTGGATCTCCAGGACCCAGGAAGAATCTGAAGGGAGAATTGGAGCCCACAGGGAAAGTGGACAGACCTCAACACAGAAAAAGGAAGGGGAAAACTGCACTTTCTCTGTGACTCCTGGCTCATGGTGTGAGAAGAGGCCTGAAGGTACAGAGACACAGTGAGGATGCGTGATTCCAAAGGCCTCCAGGGAGAAATGCACCAGTGGAATGGAGCAATAGATGTTGTAAGTTATAATAGCTGGTGAATGACTCCATTCCAAGCACCCCCAGGAGATGGGTACTTGGCTAGATGCCATTTTAAGGAGGGGCCAACTGACCCAGGACTCAGAGCAGCCATGGGTTGACTTCATCTCAGGGCTCTCAGTTTCTAGGTGAGGCACAACTTCAGGAGACATCCAGGATCAGGGAGCTGAGGTCAGGCTGGCAGAGATACCTAGAGCATTGTAGGCTGAGCAACTCAAGCCCCAACTCCACAACCAGAGGCCAGGGTCAGCCTGTGGAGTTGTAAGCATCAGAACTGGCACCTTATCCTATTCCTACTGCAGCCTTGCTGGGATTATCCAGCACCCCATTCTAATCCTACTACAGGCTTGCTAGGATCATGCAGCATGGATCTGGGCTCTGTCTGCCTCCTTTGTCTATCAGTGACACGGAGATATGCTATGAACTGGACACTACTACAAAACTATAGACCCCAGAACATAACCATAGGCTTGAAATCTTTGAGAAATCTCTTTTTTTGTTGTTGCTCCTTGCTTTTGTTTTTTTCTAGATTGTTTTTGTTTTTTCATGAGAGTGAATGTTGTTCTTAGTTTTTGTTTGTTTTTTGCTTTGTTTAGTTGTTGTTCATTTCTTTTTGTGTGTGTTTAACTTTTTTTTTTGAGATAGAGTCTCACTATGTAGTTGAGACTGACCTGGAACTCACTATGTAGCCAAGGCTGGTCTCAAACTCACAATGATCTTCCTGCCTCCACCTCCCCAGTGCTGGTATTATAGGCATGCACCACCACGCCTGGTTTAACTTTTTTTTTTTTTTTTTTTTGCAGTGCTGGGGATCAAACTCAGGACCTTGCAATTCCCAGACAGGCATAGTGCCACTGAACCACATCCCTGGTCCTTTTCCTTCCCTCCTGACTTTACCAGTTTCCCAAAACTTGAGTAATCTTCCTTTTTCCATTAGCCTTGTTTCTAATCTCTTTCTCTTCTTTTATTTCTCTATTTTTCCCCTCTTATAGCTTTTAAATCTTCTCACCCAAGGGTAAAATCACTCTATAGAGGGACATTTACTGTATACAATTTTCTTATTTACTGTAGATTTTGTTATATAACTATAAATCTTGTATTTATGGTTAAAAGTGGAAAATTAACAGATACTGTTAAATTAACTGTTAAATAACAAGTTAACTGTTAAATAACAATCTGGCATTTTCTAGGCTGTGCTTGATCGTTATTGCTGATTATACTACTTTAACCAAGGTAACACAGCTGTGATCAATTGTTCTTCCTTGTATGCCAATACCAAGATTGTCTGGGGAATCATAAACAATACTACAGGCCAGTACCAAAGAACTGGGTGCTAGGCCAAATAGGCAGCACCTTCTCATTGCTAATAAACTGAATACGCAAGATTTTAGGATAGACTCAAAAGCCAAAAGCCAGCTACACCTAGAAGACATCTCTGAAAAGTAGTCATTTTGTAAGGAGGTCTTGATATGAGTAACAAAGATACCTATCATAGGCCATTTACAAGCACAAATGCAGGAAACAAACTTTAAAAAAATAGAAAATGAGAAGACACAGAAGCAAGATGCAACCCTAGACCTCCAGCTCACCCAAGGCAAATCTAGGGGGCATTGAAGAGGAAGAAATCAAAAACCACCCAGCTGAACCTTCTAAAATGGTAGCAGTGAAAGTAACAAGGCAGATGAACAAATCTCTAGAAAAACAACAAATCAGAAATAATTTACAGAAAACTAAAGAGATGATGATCATAATGAAGATATCCAGGAGATTAAAAATTCTATCAAAAATATATGCAACAGAATCAACCAATGTGAGGATAGAATATAAGATCTAGAGACAGGTTTATGGTTATCTTTCATCAAATGAAAGATTTCTTTAAAATAGCAAGGGACCATGAGAAATCAATCCAACAGCAATTAGATAATACAAAGAAGAATAATCTAAGACTGAATGGAATCAATGAAAAATCAGAGGATAGCACAAAGGACATAAGAAACCTGTTCACAGAAGTAATAGCAGAAAACTTCACAAACACAGAAAAAGAATCTGACATACAGGTAAGTCAGGCACAGAGAACTCCAATTAGCCATGATCAGAAAATAACTACACCAAGGCATATAATACTCAAGATTCCAGGAAGTCAACACAAGAACATAATATTAAAAGCCATTAGAGAAAAGAAATCACCTATAAAGGAAAGCCCATCAGAATCACAGCAATGTCGCCCACCTGGAAAGCACAATCCCTGGTTAAAAAAAAAAAAAAGAAAGAAAAAAGAATCACAGCAGACTTCTCAATTTTCAAACCCGATTTACAGACCCCACAAAATATCTTCCAAAACTGATGGAGAAATAAGAAACTTCCATGATAAAGAACACCTGAAAAGAATTCATGACCACCAAAGCAGTACTCCAAAATGTTTTGAAGGATATTTTGGAAAAAGACAATGAAGATAATGATTCTATGAACCCCAATAAAATGAACCCACCAGGGAAGGCAAGCAGTTAAACAGAGGGGAAAGAAAGAAAACTAGCAATAGGAAAATACCATGACAAGGAAAAGTCAATACACATCAATTATAACCATCAGTGTAAATGGTCTCATTTCACCAACCCAAAGAAATATTGGCAGAATGGATCAAGAAACAAGAGCCAACAATATGCTGCATACCAGAAACACATTTAACTGAAAAAGAAATTCATAGACTGAAAGTCAAAGGATGGAAAACAATACTCTCTAAGTGACAAGAACCTGGAAAAATGCCACGATAGCTATTCTATTTGCAGACAAAGTGGATTTCAAACCAAAACTTATCAAAAGAGATGTGGGTCACTGCTTACCTGTTAAGGAACAGTCCAAGAAGAAGAGATAACAGTCTTAAATATACATGAACCAAATACCAGCACACCTAACTATATAAAATAAACCTTAATGGAGATGAAAAATAAGCACTAATGAATGCCATTGTAATAGGGGACCTCAATACCTCACTGTCATAAATACAGATGAATGAGACAAAAAAAATCAAGAAATATCAGAGCTGAATCAAACCTCTGAAAAAATGGACTTAGCAGATATTTACAGAGTATTCTACCCCACAACAACAGAAAACACATTCTTCTCATCTGCACTTGGAACTTTCTCCAAAATAGACCACATACTAGCTCACAGAACATGCTTAACTAATCATTCCATGCATATTATGAAGCTAGAAATCAATGGCAAAAGAAACTACAAAAACTGCATAAACAACTGGAAATTAAATAATACACTCCGGAACAACCAATGGGTCACAGATGAAATTAAAAAAGAAATTAGACAGTTTCTACAAGTAAATAATAATGCCAATATGTCCTACTGGAACTTATGTGACACAATGAAAGCAGTCCTACTAGGGAAATTTATAGTGGTAAATTCCCACATTAGAAAAACAGAACGAGCTAAAATAACCTCATGTTGAACCTCAAGCTTCTAGAAAAAGATGACTTAGCTCAGTGGTTCCGCCACCTGCCTCACAAGTACAAGGTCTTGAGTTCAATCCCCAAAACAAAACAAAACAAAACAAAAAAAACCCCAACAAAAAAACCCCCTAAAAATATGAGCAAGTTCAACCCAAAGCACCTGCAAGGAAGGAAATTATAAAAACCAGAGCAGAAATTAACACAATTGAGACTAAGAAAAAAAATACAAAGAATCAATGAATTTAAGAGTTGGTTCTTTGAAAAATTAATAAAATAGACAGGGCCAGGGATTTAGCTCAGTGGTTCCGGCACATGTCTTGCAAGCACAAGGGCCCAAGTTTGATCCTTCGTACCAAATTAAAAAAAAAAAAAAAAAAAAAAGACAAACTCTTAGCCACCTTTAACAAAAAAAGTAAAGACTTAAATCCATGTAATTAGAAATGAAAAGGGTGAAATCACAATGAATCCTGCAGAAATCCATATCGTTAATACATAGAAAAAATGGACAGATTCCTAGTTATATATGAATTATTCAAACTGAATCAAGAAGATAAAAAAAATTCTAAATAATCCAGTAC